TGGAGAAGTAAGAAACAAAGTATTGTCTCCCGGTCTAGTGCTGAAGCAGAATACAGGTCCATGGCCAACGGAGTGGCTGAAATCCTATGGCTAAGATCTCTACTTGAGGAGTTGGGTATTGAGTATGAGAAGCCCCTGATGCTGTATTGTGATAATCAAGCAGCCATTAATATAGCACATAATCCAGTGCAGCATGACAGAACCAAACACATTGAAGTTGACCGCTATTTTGTACGAAAGAGGGTCTCATCTCAAGAAGTATGCCTCTCTTACATCACATCCAGTATGCAACTAGCAGACATCCTCACTAAAGCCGTATCAAGAAAGAAGCTAGAAGCGGATCTATCCAAGTTGGGAATGATGAACATTTACTCCCAATTTGAGGGGGTGTGTAGAGAACACTGATGTGGGCCCCGCAGCTGTGGTCCCACTCTGTCCGTAGGGTAGAATGTATCTAGTCATAGCTGATGGTCAATCTATTATTCTGTTATTCTAGTTGTTATTGACTTTTCAGTTTTATATTGTTGTGTTATGATGTAAACACCAAGGGCAGATGTGTCCTTTAATGTAACTAGCATAACATATAAATATTAAATTGAAGTGGCGGCGGCAGAATATTGAGATTCTGTTCTTCTCCTCAAGGCCTGTGTTCTACTGCTCTCTCACCACTCTTTCTCCTCTTTCTTCTTCACTTTCTCTTCTCTTCGAACCTGAAGTTTCTTAGTGATCAAGACTGATAGCAGTCTTGAACACCTACACAGCTATTTCATTCCCTTATCTAAGAATATTGTTTCATTTCCATTTCGAAATTATTCCTCACCTCTTGTAATTGGTTGTCCTATTCATGGACACCAGATCTTATTTTCCACGCATTGAATTAACATGAGGAAGCCACCGTCAATCAATACCTTGTTCAACCTCAAAGTCCTGCAGCAAGGCCATCAATTAATGCCCGGCCTTATCTCGCGTAAGTAGTGAGCATGTGCAAAATTTTCTATATCTGCACGGTCATAGCTTACTCTGCAACCTCCACTTTCACCTTGATTTCCTCTCCATGCTCCGTGCCTCCACCCGCATTGAGTTGAAAGTTTAATCCTACCTCATCTTGGGGCTGCTCATATAATAACCATTCTTACCTTTGAACCCAATTCTCCCCAATTTCTGCGTCACATTGCCAGTTTCAAACATGTTTATGAAAACTTTTGGATGGATGCGGTAGTTCTTTAATCCAAGCTTCCATCCATGAATCCTCCTTTCTTCTAGTGCACCTTTCCATAGCTCCCAAAAATCAAGAGCAGGGGGTGGTACTTCACACAGAACATGGATGGTTGAATCTACAAATAAAGGTGACCGCAACAATTATGAGTGACCAGGTCTGACTTATGACTCTTATCAAGCAGGCTTCTGGCATGCCTCCATACCTTGTTACGAGGGTCCTTGATGCCACCAAATGTTCAATAAGTCTCCACCTTATTATTATCCTGGTAGGAGTTGATACTTCGATGGTAGTTATATGCCAATCTCCTATATATTTTTATCTACCAACATTATTCCCAGTATAGTTTTTGAAGGAGTACACATTATTCCCTGTATATTTTTATCTACCAACATTATATACCTTGAATTCTGTATATATTTGTATTGTACATATCTGTACTTGTACGCTTTTCAAACTGAGCCTTAGATTCCAATAGGGTCAGCAATATGACCATAGAACAGATCAAATAATTTTAACAAGTCCAATCATGGCTTGGGGTTGAGGTCCACGCTAAGCACATGTAGAGTAAACCGTCCTCCTATAGATGTCTGTTAGTGTCCATCTTTTTGTGCCTATTCTTGGG